TAGTTGAGCATAAAGTTCAGGGTCCACTTCTGGGTTCTCTGTTCTGTTCCATTGATCTATATGTCTGTTTTTGTGCCAGTACCACACTGCCTTGATGAACACAGCTTTGTAGTACAACCTGAAATCTGGCATTGCGATGCCCCCAGATATGGTTTTCTTTTTTTAAAATTCCCCTGGCTGTTTGGGGTCTTTTCTGATTCCACACAAATCTTAAAATAATTTGTTCTAAGTCTCTGAAGAAAGTCCATGGTATTTTGATAGGGATTGCATTATACGTGTAAATTGCCCTGGGTAACATTGACATTTTCACAATATTAATTCTGCCAATCCATGAGCATGGAATATTTTTCCATCTCTTTGTGTCTTCCTCAATTTCTTTCAGAAGTGTTCTGTAGTTTTTAGGGTATATTTTGAGAACCATTTGAATGGTAAATGGTTCTCCAACCTTTTATTTTCAGGTTGTAGGTGTCCTTCTGTCTAAAATGAGTCTCTTGTAGACAGCAAATAGATGGGTCCTGTTTTTTTATCCAGTCTGAAACTCTGCGCCTTTTGATGGGGTCATTAAGCCCATTCACGTTCAGAGTTACTTGAACTTCTTCTTAAAGGGGAGTTTTAAGAGTCCCCCTTAAAATTTCTTGCAGAGCTGGTTTGGAGGTCACATATTCTTTCAGTTCCTGCCTGTCTTGGAAGCTCTTTATCTCTCCTTCCATTTTGAATGAGAGCCTTGCTGGATAAAGTATTCTTGGTTGCATGTTCTTCTCATTTAGGACCCTGAATATATCCTGCCAGCCCTTTCTGGCCTGCCACGTCTCTGTGGAGAGGTCTGCTGTTACCCTAATATTCCTCCCCATGAAAGTCAGGGACTTCTTGTCTCTTGCTGCTTTAAGGATCTTCTCTTTATCTTTGGAATTTGCAAGCTTCACTATTAGATGTCGAGGTGTTGAACGGTTTTTATTGATTTTAGGGGGGGATCTCTCTATTTCCTGGATCTGAATGCCTGTTTCCCTTCCCAGATTGGGAAAGTTTTCAGCTAGGATTTGTTCAAATACATATTCTGGCCCTCTGTCCCTTTCGGCGCCCTCGGGAACCCCAATTAAACGTAGGTTTTTCTGCCTCAGGCTGTCGTTTATTTGCCTTAATCTGTCTTCATGGTCCTTCAATTGTTTATCTCTTTTTTCCTCAGTTTCCCTCTTTGCCATTAACTTGTCTTCTATGTCACTCACTCGTTCTTCCACCTCGTTAACCCTCGTCGTTAGGACTTCTAGTTTGGATTGCATCTCATTCAATTGATTTTTAATTTCTGCCTGATTGGATCTAAATTCTGCAGTCATGAAGTCTCGTGAGGCCTTAATGCTTTTTTCTAGAGCCACCAGTAGCTGTAGAATAGTGCTTCTGAATTGGCTTTCTGACATTGAAGTGTAATCCAGATTTTGTAACTCTGTGGGAGAGAGGGCTGTTTCTGATTCTTTCTTTTGAGTTGAGGTTTTCCTTCTAGTCATTTTGCTCAGTGCAGAGTGGCCAGAAACAAGTTGTATTGGAACACGGGGGAGTATCACTGGCCCCTCTAGCTGGTCTTCTGGGGGAGGGGCCTGTTGCGTTGATTTTCAGGTGTTAGCACTTGGGGGAGCTGCTCTGCCCCTGCCTGCTGCAGGGCTCTGCGGGGGTTGTTTACCCCGCCAGGCCCCAGGAGGAACAGCAGCAGTTGCTATGGCAACTCTGGAAGCCTGGATTCAGCCTCCGCAGGAACTACGGGGCTCGGGGCTCTCGGCTCTCCGTCCGCAGGGCCTGGAGGCTCCGGGGCGGGGCCGCTGATCTGCTCAGCTCGGGGCAGGAGCGTCCTCGCTGTCTCGGGCCCTCCCGGCCTCTGCCTGTCCCGGGGGAGGCCGGATCCTGGGCTGTGTCCCGGCGCCCTGTGCTCCGGGGCCTGCGCTGTTGGATTCGCGCTCCCGCCCTGCAGCTCCCTCCCTGGAGCCGCTCCCGAGCCCCTCCGAGCTGCTCCGGTCGGTCCCTCCGTGCGCGCTGCAGCCCTTAGGGAGCTCGGAGCACTCTCCTGCGCTCGCAGGTGTCTGTTAGTGTCCCCGGGAGCCTGAGGGCATCCCCGCTCTCCTGGGTCCTGCTCCAACTCCCTGCGAGCCCCTTTCCGCCCGCCCGGGAAGGTTGGTGCAGCTCCTGCTCCTCCGGGACGGGGCTCTCCTGTCCTGGGGACACTCGCCCCGGCCTCAGCCCGGCTCCTCGCGGGGCCCCTCCCCCTCGGAGGCCTTTTGTTCCTTTATTTCTTTTTCCCCGTCTTCCTACCTTGATAGAAGCGTGAACTCTTCTCACTGTAGCATTCCAGCTGGTCTCTCTTTAAATCTCAGGCCGAATTCGTAGATTTTCAGGATGATTTGAAGGTTATCTAGGTAATTTGGTGGGGACAGGTGATTTGGGGACCCTGCTCTTCCGCCATCTTGCCCCTCCCTTGGAATTATTTTTGAAATATAACATTAATTAAACTAATTACATTGAATAAGTCATCACATATCTATTAGTTTTGAAGTATGTCAATAATTTACGCTTGATACCTGTTTGCTTATCTACTCATGAATAGGGAAACCTGAGTTCTAACTTGAGTTAGATTATTTTTCTTGATGTAATTTTGTGTGCTTTTGAGGACATTTTTCAAAACTAAATGAATGTTATACGCAACTGATGAATTATTGAAAAGCACCTCTGAAACAAATTTATAAAAAAGAAAACTAAATCAATGTCTACTTAGAAATGAGAATTGGTAAATAAAATGTGTAGATTTCTAAAAAGTGCCCAAAGGCAACAAGGGATGGATAATGTATCTACAAAGATTTACTAGGAGATTCCTTGATGAACTCTTTACCAATTTAACTTCTCACTTTCCTTCCTTCTTTCCTTCCTTCCTTCTCTATCATTTATTTCCCTTTCTCCTCCCCTCTGCCGGCTTTCTCTCTGTCCCTTCTCTTATCCTGTGGGTATGCATCTGTGTTTCTCTTGTACTAATTGTGCTACTGCAGAAATTGAGGCTTTACAGACGCTGAGATCATCAAGCCAGCAAGTGACATGGCTGTGACTTAGTGGTAGGTTTGCTGCATCTGGATCCAGTGACATCTCCCTGCAAACAGAAAGGCAGCTGCAGAAAGAAATGCTAGAGATCTGACAGGAAGCAGAGGGGATGACAGTGGAATAAAGTGAGAAAAACAGAGAAATAAAGTTAAATAAGTAAGGGGCTTGCTGGTGACAGGATTGAACGTTAGGTCAAAAATTCAATTCCGCATTATATCAATAGGGAGCCACGCAAGCTCCAAGCCATAAGATAGATGGAGCATTAAATATTACTTAGAAAAATGAGTTTCAGCTTTTTTTACATGAAATGAATCACTCCTCTAAAAATCCCTACCCAGAGGCCTAAACAATCAATGCAATTGAGAAATGGATGCTTTGTTTGAAGAGGACTGCGTTGCTACTTCTCTAATGAGCCATCCTTGTACTGCAAATGAGGACCCTGGGACCAAGAGGTGCCAGCTATATGCCCCAGTAGCACACCACATTAGTGACACAGCCTGAATAAAGCCCGCATCTCATTTCCTGACTCTGGAGTCAGGGTTCCTTGTAATTCACAATGGTCCTTACAAGCAAGATCTCGGTTCTTGGGTCATGAGGGAGAGGCTGAGGTTAAATGGTGGGAATAAAGGACATTTGCATGGTCTGCCCTAGAAGATCTGCATTTTATGTATGGGGTGGGATGGGAGTGAGGCTGCTGAATCATAAGAATGAATTCTCAGCCTTCCCAAGGTGGTATAGTCCACTATCAACTGAAGCTGCACTCCAGAAAATTCCTAAGATAAGGCAGTCACCCTCTGCTTAAAAGTTCCAAGTACTAACACAAAGCATGTTTTCACAGTAGCATTTCCTCTGGGTTGCAATAGTAACTCTCTTGAAACATCACATCATCAGATCTCTTCTGCACTGGTGGAACAGAGAAGTTCACAGTTTGAGCTGTGTGATCAAAAGGCCAGTCCACAGCACACTAGTTATATATATTCTTTTGGGAGGGGTATGCTTGATATTTTAAACTTTATCATATCTAAATTCAATTAATTAACATATAATGTATTATTGGTTTCAGAGGTAGAGATCTGTGACTTATCAGTCTTATACAATACCTAGTGCTCATTACATCATGTGCCCTCCTTAATGTCCATCACTCAGTTACCCCATCCCCCCACCCCCTCCCTTACGGTGACCCTCAGTTTTTCTATGCTTAAGAGTCTCTTATGGTTTGTTTTCCTCTCTGATTTCATCTTATTTTATTTTTTCCTCTCTTCCCCTCTGATCTTCTGTTTTGTTTCTTAAAATCCACATGAGTGAGATCATATAATTGCCTTTCTCTGATTGACTTCTTTCACTTAGAATAACATCCTCTAGTTCAATCCACATCATTACAAAATGGAAAGATTTCATTTTTTTATTGCTGAGTAGTATTCCATTGTATATAGATACCACATCTTCTTCATCCATTCATCTGGGGTCTTTCCATAATTTGGATATTGTGGACATTGCTGCTATAAACATTAGTTTAGTTAGTTTCCTTAACTCAAAGTACTGCTCCATCATCTGTAAAAAAAATAAAATAAAAAAATAGTCACTCATAGGATTATTCCAGTACTCAGAGTAGGGTAGGTGCTCAAAAAAAGTTAGCTAATAATATGAATAAAGGAAAGAAAACTATATTTCACTTGGAAGAACAATTAAAGAAAGAGGAGAAATGTCCTGGGAGAAGCTAGCATTAATGAAGTGTCTACCTTTTAAACTCTTTATTTAATATATTATTAAGATCCAAATGCTTTAATGGTGAAGAAATGAATAAAAATGAGTAACACAGTCTATGAGGTCCTGGAAGACATGAGGCCAAATAATCATTACTTAAATATCACTTGTTGCTTTTTTAGGTTTTTCAGATCTCCACTGGAGCCCGTATCAACACCTAATATATGGAGAATCCAAAAAATGTGACTGAATTCATTCTTTTGGGCATTACCGAGAACCCAGAGCTGCGGAACATGCTCTCTGCTGTGTTTCTAATCATGTATGTGTCCACGGTTTTGGGAAACCTATTAATTGTGGTAACTGTGATCACGAGTCAGAGTCTGAGATCACCTATGTATTTTTTCCTTACTTTCGTATCCCTTTTGGATGTCACCTACTCTTCTGTCATTGCCCCCAAGATGATTGTGGACTCCCTCTCCAAGAGCACTGTCATCTCCTTAGAAGGTTGCATGGCGCAGCTCTTTGCAGAGTATTTCTTTGGTGGTGTGGGGATCATCCTTCTCATCGTGATGGCCTATGACCGCTACGTGGCCATCTGTAAGCCCCTGCACTACTCCACCATCATGAGCCCTCGGATGTGCTGCCTGCTGCTGGGAGGGGCCTGGGTGGGGGGATTTATCCATGCAGCAATACAGCTTCTCTTCATGTATCAAATACCCTTCTGTGGCCCCAATGTCATTGATCATTTTATATGCGATTTGTTTCCCTTGTTGAAACTGGCCTGCATGGACACCCACACCCTGGGTCTCCTAGTCATCCTCAACAGTGGGGTGATGTGTATGACCATCTTCCTTATTCTCATTGCCTCCTATGTGGTCATCCTCTGCTCTCTGAAGTCTTGCAGCTCTGAAGGGCGGCGCAAAGCCCTCTCCACCTGTGGCTCCCACCTCACCGTGGTTGTCTTGTTCTTTGTGCCATGCATTTTCCTGTACGTGCGGCCTGTGGCCACCTACCCCATTGACAAGGCAATGGCTGTGTCTGATTCCATCATCACACCCTTGTTAAATCCCTTGATCTACACCCTGAGGAATTCAGAGGTGAAAAATGCCATGAGGAAACTGGGGAAACAAAGGAGTTTTGTTGGCAAGTGATGGTCATGCTAAGACATCATGTTTCCCATTAAGGGAGATTCTTTCTGAAAGGTGAGAGAAATAAGCTATTCATCGCCACTAACAACAGAGAGATTTTTGAAAAATATAAACCTGGTTGGGGCCCCTCGGTGGCTCAGTCAGTTAAATACCTGCCTTTTGCTCAGGTCATGATCCCAAGGTCCTTGCTCAGTGATTCTCCCTCTCCTTTTCCCTCTGGGGAGAAGGGTTCGTGCTTGTTCTCATTCTCTCTCTCAAATATATAAGTAGAATCTTTTAAAAGTGGATATCTGTTTGGGGCACCTAAGTGATACAGTCTGTTAAGCATCTGACTCTTGATTTAGGTTCAGATCACAATCTCAGTGTCCTGGGATTAAGACCCTCATCAGGCTTCAGGCTCAGGGGAGAGACTGCTTGAGAGTCTCTCACCTTCTGCTTCTGCCCCTCTTCCTTTCACCCTTGCATATTCTCTCTCTCTCCCTTTCAAATTAGTAAATAAGTCTTTAAAAATATGTAAACCTGTTTTGTGATTTAGGATTTAAGGATTATGGACTTGTTAAAGGATCACAATACTTTAGTGCTTTATACCCTTCCTTGGCTTCCCATTGCCTTTGGAAACAGCTGGCATTGTGGAAAAATTCCCTGATTGATCTTTCTACTGCCTCTAAGTCTCCCACCCAATCTGGAGCACCTCACTTACTCCCTTACTGTGTATCAGCAGGTGTTGGCTATTTTCATCTGCCCCCACAGCTCTTTGCGACTTTCTCACCTCAGTGCTTTTGCTTCTCTCTTTCTGAAAGCAAGTCCCATCTTCTTCAATTGGTTGCTTCCTCATAATCTATTGTCTTGGAAAAGAAATTGACTGGCCTTACCTCAGAGAGCTTCCCCCATGATTCTTTTAAAGACTTTTTCACTCTTTACAAAATTCCCTATGGCAAGATCTTCTTTATTTTCTTTATAAAAATAATTAAAAGCATGATTACTTTTGCATAATCATTTAAGTTTTGCTACTTGCCTTCTCTCAAATATACCAGACATCCTGATACATAGACTTTTGTCTTATTTATGCTTGGCATCTGTTAGGTTTCCATAAAGATCTGTTGAATGATTATAGAATGCAAGAGACTTTTCCCCCAAAAAAACTAGCCTAAATTGGATGGTGAGACAAAAAAAATATCAAAAATAAACAAGCAGGAAAGATGCTATATTTTGTCCAATGTTTTTGTTTTTGTTTTTCATCAATTGAGAGGATCATGTGGTTCTTCTCTTTTCTTTTATCAATGTGATGTATCACACTGACTGATTTGCAGATGTTGAACCACCCTTGCAGCCCAGGAATAAATCCCACTTGGTCTTGGAGAATAATCTGTTTAATATACTGTTGGAACCTATGGCTAGTATTTTTGTGAGAGTTTTGACATTCATGCTCCAAAGGCAGGAATGAAGCAAAAGCAAAAATGAACTATTGTTACTTCATCAACATAACAAGCTTTTGCACACCAAAGAAAATAGTCAATAAAACTAAAAGGCAATCTGCAGAATGGGGGAAGATACTTGTAAATGACAAATAAGGGGCTAGTATCCAAGATGTATAAAGCGCTTTCAAAACCAACACCCAAAAAACAAACAATCATGATAAGAAATGGTCAGAAGACATGAACAGACATTTCTCCAAAGAAGGCATACAAATGGCCAACAGATCTATGAAAAAATGTTCAATGTCACTTAGCATCAGGGAAATACAAATCAAAACCACAATGAGATACCATCTCCTATCAATCAGAACGACTAAAATTAATGTCAGGAAACAACAAATGTTGGCAAGGATAGAGAGAAAGGAGAATTCTCTCAAAGTGTTGGTGGGAATGAAAGCTCGTGCAGCCACTCTGGAAAGCAGTACGGAGGTTCCTCCAGAAGTTAAAAATAAAGCTATCTGGTGACCTAGCAACTGCACTACTATTTACCCCAAAGGAAAAATGTAGTGATCCGAAGGAGTGCCTGTAACCCAATGTTTATAGCAAAAATGTCCACAATAGCCAAACTGTGGAAAGAGCCAGACGTCCACCCACAGATGAATGAATAAAGAAGATCTGATTTTATATATATTTTATATATATATATATAAATATATATATAAATATATATAAATATACATATACATATAACTATATATATATTTATATATATAAATATAAATATAAATATATATAAATAATATGGAATATTACTCAGGTATCAAAAAATGGAATATCATTTACATTGATGTGGATAGAACTGGAGGATATTATACTGAATGAAATAAGTTAATCAGAGAAAGAATTATCATATGGTTTCACTCATATGAGGAATATAGAACTAGCACAGAGGATCACAGAGGAAGGAAGAGAAAACAGAATGGGAAGAAATCAGAGAGGGAGGCAAACCACGAGAAAACAGAATGGGAACCACGAGAGGTTTCAAGGAACCATGAAAGACCAGGAGCATAATGGTCCAGATAGAGAGGGGCAAGAAGCAAGAAATACACACCTGTGTACCTCAGATTATGTAGTGCCGAGACCACTAAATCTCCCTGAAGCTGCAAAGAACATAAATGTCGTTATTATCTTTTAAAAATGACCCAGACTCAAAAATTCTTCAGGAATGCTGACTGACTCTCACTTTTGTGCTATAGAGGAGCTGGGGCAAAGAACTAATGTTATATTAGGTTTAGGTTTATGATGCTTACTCTCTTTTTAAAAAGATTTTATTTAAAAAAATAAAAAATAAAATAAAAAGATTTTATTTGTTCATGAGAGAAACAAAGAGAGAGGCAGAGCCCTAGCCAGATGGGGAGGCAGGCTCTCTCTCCGTGGGGAATCTGATGCGGACTCAAACCCGGGATCCAAGCATCATGACCCAAGTCAAAGGCAGATGCTCAACCACTGAGCCACCCAGGTACCCCCGATTCTACTAATGAGAGCTTTTTATGACTGTGCCGTCCTATAATTGAGTGTCAACTACCAGTTTGTTCACATCTCTTCATAGATGATTAAATTAGTCTCAGGAAACAGCATGCCTCCATTGATCTTAAATACATTTTAGCAGATAAGGCCTGGAAATATTTTACATATTCTGCTCTCCAACACAATCCTTAGTTTGCTGATTACTGCTACCAGAATTTTGTAATAATCTTATTATATTGTTTTTAAAAAGACTAATCCCAGGAGGCCAACATGGGATTTGATAACATTTTTTCTGAATTATAATTAAAGCACAGGAAGCTTAAAGTCAATGAGTTTAACGTGAAAAAGTGTATGTTCCAGAAACTTAAATAAAATGTCACAGTTAATTCTAAGAGAGATCCATTAAATTCAGGAAGAAGGCCACCTTTTAAAACTGCCATTATTATATAATTTGTTGAGTTTTAATGCCCAGTTCTCAACCTCATATACTTATTTGAATCAGGAAGATAATAAAAATTGAATAAATCCAAAATATGCAAAAACATTTAAGAAAAAGTTAAAGACCTTTGCTCCCTGTAGAAAAGGAGCAAATCTTGACCCCTTTAAAAGACTGCCAGGACTAAACTCTGGTGTGTCGTTGCCTAATGAGGGGCACATATCCAAATTTGTCCCAAACTCAACTTTTCAAGAGAAACCAGGTATTCATATTTAATATGTATTTTAATGATTTGAATATACTGATGACCGATTACACTTATAAAATCTTTTATGCTAAACAATAATCTTTGGATTAAACAAATTTACAGTTTTTCAGGTAAATTCGGTTTAGCAGCCTGTCACTTTGGAAATTTTGTATCAACCAATGAAATAAGAGGAAAAGGAAATATAGCAGTCAGAACCAAACACAAGTCATTGTTGGCTGATGTATTCATCTAGTTTGCCAAACCAAGACAATCAACTGAGAGATTACAGTATTTAATAAAAGAGTTTACTCAAAAATCAGCATAATAATACTTCTAAATGTAAGTATAATAGACAAATATAAAACGAAATAAATCTACTTCACAATAACAATAAAATTAAGAGATGCAACAGAAATGTGAACAGTCTTCATGAAGAACACTAAGCCTCATCACAAAAGACATGTTAAAACTGAGTCAGGTGAATTATACAATTTGAGATGGAAGTAACTCACAATTTAAAGTTGTTAATTTTTCCCAATTAATTGACATACTGAGTGAATTTCTAAACAAAATCTCTGGAGGAGATTTGCATGGAAATGGAGAGAATTATTCTAAACTCCACATGGTTGAATATATAGAAGAAAAGACTCAAAGATATTGGAGAGGATGAGGAGAAGAACCAAGGTCAAATATGTCATAAAGCTATAGTAATTTTTCAAACCGAGTATGCCCACAGAATAAACAAATATATTAAGAGGACAGAGTATCATGCAAAGAAATTCAACCGTATATATATGTGGTAATTTAATATAGGATTAGGTTGAAAGTATTAACATGAAAATAAATTATATTAAGAGAAATGACTATCAATTTGGGGAAAAAAGTTAAAACGTATATCAAAAACTAAATAAATAGCATTCTCAACAGGAGTCGATGTGTATGGGAGACATCAAAAACAGGGGGAAAGGATGCAGAATAAGATAAAAATACATTTTAAATCTAGTTACAGCAGGAATGGGGACATGGGAGATGGGATGCAGGGAAAGTGCACTCGTTTCTTTTATTCATAACTCATAATTATTTTTAATAATATAAAAACAAACCCGATTCAAAGAAAATGTAGTGTTTTAAATTTCTGGACATAATGCAGTCACTGAACTTCCCCTTTGCTGAAAGTAGCTAGAAGCTGCACAAAACACTGGAAACATCGTATTCAGTTTTGGATGACTGGCAACATACTCCTGGGACCCCTTACAAAAAGGAGACAGATCAGGTGAGTGCTAGGACAGACTCAGGCTGACCAAAAGACCTCCAACCCCTTGCAGAGGTGAGGAGAACTGCAAATGGCTCCCCTCACCCTTGACATCACAAAATGGTT